GAGTGTGAATGCCGGCAACATATTTGTGTTAAAGAATATTTTGTATGACGGATTGTTCGGTTCGGCGCAATCACTGTGACGAGACGTGACTGATGTGTCTGAATCGACCTTAATACAGCATCATACGAGAAACTTTGTATTATTAATTTTACGAAAAAAGCATTCTTTATAAAAAGTTGTGGATGGCTTAAAACCATCAGATATCAAATTTGATCAATATTATACAAGGTATGTCAAAAAGTATGAATTTCGCTCAAGAGTAAAGTACCTTTATATTTCACAATATCCAAAATTGTTATTATGAAAAGTTGTTTATAATTAAAAACTATGTTTTAATATGCAATTACATTCTCCTAATCGGAAAAAAATGCATATTTTTCTCAAATTAAGTACCGGTACCCAACATCATTTTTATTTATTACAAATATGATAACTATCCAATTATTGAAAAACGACACCATACATCAGACAGTAAATAAAGAATTAAACAAAAATTTAGGAAATATCGACCACAATAGAATTAGCGAGTACGATGACATAAACGTTCTGTGGAAAACTATTAAAGAACAAATGAACAATGTAACGGAAAAACATCTAAAAGTAACACCTAGAAATAACAAACAGGAATGGATGACAGAAGAGATTTTACAATTAATGAACAAACGAAGAGAATCTAAAGGAAAAAATGACAAGGACGGAGAATACAAAAGACTAAATAGAATAATTCGAAAAAAAAAAATAACCGAAGCAAAAGAGAAATGGCTGGAAACAAAATGCGTTGAAATAGAAGAACTGCAACAAAGGCACGATTTTTTTAATTTACATAAAAAGGTAAAAGAGTTTACATCGACTACCAAGAGAACGACTTTTCACACCATGCTGAACACGGATGACAAACTGCTAGAATCAACGGAAGATAAACTGAAAGAATGGGAAAACTATATTAAAATTCTTTTTCACGACATACGAGAAGAACCAAGATTGGAAAATAACAACGAAGGGCCAACAATTCTGAAATCTGAAATCATAAATGCAATTAATCATCTCAAAACAAATAAAAGCCCAGGTCCAGACGGAATATACCCAGAAACGTTCAAATTAATCAGCGAAGAAAATATCGAATTATTTGTCCTTTTATTCAATCGCATTTATGATACAGGTAAAATACCCCAAGAGTGGCTGGAGTCAATATTCATCCCACTACCAAAAAAAGCCAAACCCACAACACTGCAATGAGTTCCGTCTGATAAGCCTTATGAGTCATGCAGTAAAAGTCCTACTAAAAATCGTACATAATCGTATCTATAGAAAGTGCGAAACAATCATCGGAGACGATCAGTTTGGATTCAGAGCCGGCATGGGAACGAGAGAAGCCCTGTTCAGTTTACTAGTTCTCGCCCAAAAATGCTACGACCAACAGAAAGATATATTTATATGCTTTATAGACTTCGAAAAAGCATTTGATAGAGTAAGACACGATCTACTATTAGAACGTTTGCAAGAAGTCGGTTTAGATGGAAAAGACATCAAACTCTTAAAAAACTTGTACTGGAACCAAAAAGCCAGAGTTAGGATCGAAGGTTCCACATCCGCAGAAGTAGAAATTAGGAGGGGAGTTAGACAGGGATGTGTTCTGTCGCCTCTGCTGTTTAATCTTTACTCCGAGTTTCCATTTAAAGAAGCATTGGAAGATTCCAAGGATGGAGTCAAGGTGAATGGCGTAAATATCAACAGTATCAGATACGCCGATGATACAGTGTTAATTGCGGATTCCGACTCAGGTCTACAACGACTCATCGACAAGACCAACTCGACCTGTGAGCAATTTGGCATGAAAATAAACATTAAAAAAACCAAAGTGATGTCAATCCGAAAAAACCAAAACGTACCTCAACCTTGCACAATAAATGGGCACATCTTAGAACAGGCCAATAGATTTAAGTACCTGGGATGTTGGATCGATAACAGCCTAAATCCTGATCAAGAAATAAGATCGAGAATAGAACAGGCTAGAAAATCTTTTGAAAAAATAAAAAAACTGCTTTGTGATTCTCGAATAAAACTCGAAAATCGACTACGTTTATCAAAATGCTACGTCTGGTCGACTCTTCTATATGCAGTGGAAACGTGGACCCTTAAAACATCAACCGTAAATAAATTGGAGGCCTTTGAAATGTGGATCTACCGGAGAATACTCAAAATTTCATGGACACCTCATACCTCAAACGAAGAAGTGCTGCATAGAATAGGCAAGGAAAGAGAACTTTTTAACACAGTTAAAGTAAGAAAAACATCATACCTAGGCCACATACTGAGAAATAATAAGTACCAATATGCCCAACTTATAGTGAAAGGAAAAATCGAGGGAAAGAGAGGCCTAGGAAGGAAAAGACTATCATGGCTCAGAAACATCCGACAATGGACAGGGCTAAATTTTGAACAGCTAATAAGAACAGCTGAAGATAGAGAAGAGTTTAAAATTGTAGTAGCCAACCTCCATTGAGGAGAGGGCACTTTAAGAAGAAGAAGAATGATAACTATTTTATTATTAATTTTACGAAAAAAGTTATTATTCATAAAAATCTATGCATGGCCAAAAACTCAAGGTGCATTCATCAGATATCAAATTTTATCAATGTTTAAGAGGTGTCCAAAAATATCAATTTCGCTGAGGAGTAAAACACCTTTATATTTTACACTATCGTAAATTGTTATAATGAAAAGTTGTTTGGAAATAAAAACTATGTTTTAAATGTCATTGCATTCTTCTAATTGAAATGAACATTTTTGCAAATTTTTCTCAATCTAATGAACATTGGATTGTTAATAACGTCTTTTCTATCGGAACGGAAGAGTTATCATATTTAAAAATATAGAATAATTTTTTTTTCAATTTGAAGGATATGATTGAATATTAAAACATAATTATTAATACTAAACAACTTTTTATAACCTACCTCGTATAAGATTGATAAATCATGAGTGTGTTGCTTGTGTGAGTCCATTTCAAATAGGTAAAAGAAATAATAAATAAGACTTACTCACAATTATGTATACTCATAATTGTGATACCTTAATATTTAAACTCCATCACTTGTTCTATTATCTGACCTTTCAGCTCCAATTTACATCTTAGTAAATCAATATAGTGTGTTAGTGTGTCCAATTAAGTTGGCAACGAAAAAAAGGTATTCTTTATAAAAAGTTGTGCATGGTCTAAATCCTATGATGCAACCATCAGTTATCAAATTTTATCAATCTTATAAGTAAAAGAAATAATAAATAAGACTCACTTACAATCAGTTTAATTTAACCATCTAGACGACCGATTTCGCTTTCTACAATATGTAAAGCATCTTCAGGTCTGTCGATACAAATCGATATTTTGATACATTAAATGCTAAAATAATAAAACCCATATTAGGGTATTGTGTTATAAAGATAAACAAAAGATAAATGATATAAATTACAATAATTATGCCAATACTACATGTCTGTCGTTTTTTTAATAAATGAATAAACTGTTTAAGCAGACAAAGACCAGACCCACAAATTGGTACAAAAATAGTCCATTGAATTGTAATAAATTATTAAATAAACAAAACATTACTTACATGCCGGTACACTATTAATTAATGGTTGGAAGAACATAGTTTAAACTATCCTGTATTGCTGAATGGAGATCTTCAGTTTTTACTATTGTAATTGTTTGACAATCAACGATTGTCAATTGATTGTCAAACAATTACAATAGTAAAAACTGAAGATCTACATTCAGCAATACAGGATAGTTTGAACTAAGTTCCTCCAACCATTAATTAATAGTGTACCGGCATGTAAGTAATGTTTTGTTTATTTACTAATTTATTACAATTCAATAAAATATTTTTATACCAATTTGAGGGATATACATTGTCTACTAAAACAGTTTATTCATTTTTTTAAAAAAACCACAGACTTTTAATATTGGTATAATTACTGTAATTTATATCATTTATCTTTTGTTTATCTTTATAAGACAACACCCTAATATGGGTTTTATTATTTCAGCATTTAATTAACTTTGTATCGACAGACCTGATGATGCTTTGCGTATAGTATGATAGTTAAATTAAACTCATTATAAGTAAGTCTTATTTATTATTTATTTTACTTCTAAGATTGATAAAATTTGATAACTGATGGTTGCATCATAGGATTTAGACCATGCACAACTTTTTATAAAGAATACCTTTTTTTCGTTGCCAACTTAATTGGACACACTAACACACTATATTGATTTACTAAGATGTAAATTGGAGATGGAAGATCAGATAATAGAACAAGTGATGGAGTTTAAATATTAAGGTATCACATTATCTAGTTACGGAAAGCTCGAAAACTAAGTGGAAGATCAAGTGAATGGAGCAAACAGAGCCGCAGGCTGCCTAAATGAAACAATATAGAGAAATAAAAATATCGAGAAAGAAACGAAAGACAGAATTTACAAAACAGTCATCAGATCAGTAATGACATATGCGGCAGAAACAAGACCTGACACAGAGAGGACAAAAAGGATGTTAGAAACAGGAGCACTTAAAAAAATTGATGGTAAAACACTATGGGACAGAGCTAGAAGTACAGATATACGACATAGATGCAAGGTGAAGAACATCAAAAACTGGGTAAGAAATAGAAGAGTAGAATGGAACGATCATATAAGCCGAATGACAACAAATAGAGTAGTAAAGACGGCAAGAGACGGTTCCACAATAGGAAGACGATCAGTAGGAAGACCACGAAAACGATGGAATGACAACTTACTGGAGGCACATTGAAAAACAGACAGAGGTATGTCTATATAAACAGAAGAATAAGAAGAAAAAGAAGAACACACACACTATATATATATATATATATATATATATATATATATATATATATATATATATATATATATCGCTGAAGAATAAGTGTAATTGATGATGCATGAGAATGTAGGATTTCTTGACAACTCACTACGAGTATAATAATTAATTTTTTCTGTCTCACTTTAGTGTCTTATAAAGTACTAAATAAATTCCAAAGCTCAGGGATTCCTCTCTGATAAGATCTACGACTAGAAAATAGTGTAGAACAATCTGCTAAAACATATACTTCCCACGATTTCCTGATGGAAGATCTCGTATCTTCTCGATTGTCTTTACGAACGTGCATTAAGTTTTAAAAGGTTCCCGCCCCCTCCCAGGCACTTATTGTACTTCACGAGTTTCTGTCAACCTCAAAAAACCGAGGCACTTATTGTTGCTTAAATCACTTAAAATTGACTGTATACAAGTCTAGTTTACACGACATGAATAGATTGTATTAAATCTCCTACACCTCCACCATTTCGATGCACAGTTCCAGTTTCAATTTGTTCTTTGAGCATTTCTAACTCCCTTATACCTGATAAGGTTGTTTCGTATTTATGCGTTACTAAAGATCTGTAGAAATGTATAGCGAATGCTAGAAATACAAAAAGTATAGGTACCAGAATAACAGTGGCAGACCAAGCTGCAGTTTCGTTAATATCTATAAACTTAACCCAGCACAAAATGGCTATTTCGGCCAGGAATAATAATAGACCTAAGAGCGTCGAAAACGCCCACGCCGTTTCTATATACCAATGAAGTCTCTCATGGGGCGATTCTTCTACCAAGTTTATAGAATCTAAATTACATATAGCTTCTATATTCGGTAATATGCAGGTACTTATCATCAGCGCTAGCATGTGGACTGCTACTAGCAACGTCGTGATCACAGCAAAAGCGACCAGTACTTCTCCAGAGATCTTCTCCATCGGTGACTGAAGCTGCAGTTCCACCATCGCAACCATGGCAAACCCTGAGAGAAGGGCTGATGTCTTGCTAGAGGCTTTCAATTTTGCTCGGGACAGTTGGAGTTTGCGCCACGAGAGGTAGCGGCGGTTGTGTATCTCGTCACCTGACATCGACATGTTTTTACACTGGAACCAAAAAAATCAAAGTAAATATAAAATACGCATTAGATAACAGCAATTTATTTGATGGAACGGGTTCCGGTCCGTTTATTAATAACGTGATTTTGGGAAAAATTTTTGAAATACATTATTTTAAGCTATTTAAAAAAAATGTGGAACTTCTACATTCGTTTAAAAAGAAAAGAAAAAATTAAAATTTTTACACTTTTTAGGTGGACATATTGACAACTGACTGCGACGTTTCCAAATCGATAAAAATGTTTAGCACCACAAGTATTCACTTTATACTTTAATATGTAAAGACGTAAAAAGGTATCCATACTGGACGTCTAGCAGGTAGACTGAAAGGGAAATATTTTTTGGCTGCTTGAAGAGTAGCCACAAAGTAAGACATCCCCGGGACAGTCCTACGAGCGTCGAGATAGTGCCGGATTAACCGCATCCCAGCTAAAAGCTACCACCGCTCCTTACATATATCTCGAATCATGTACTTCATGTACTTACCTAACTCAACCTAACCAAATCAAACCTTAGATAACCCAACGTCACCCAAAATAATCTAAAAAAACTAATTAAGATAAAATATATATGTGGTATGTATATTGTGAGGTACTTGTGTGTCTATTATTAGTTTAAAATATATTATTTAACTTCCTGTACTGTGAGATGACCTACTGACGCCCTACGAACCCATATGATGTCGGTAGGTCATTTTACAACCCACGAAGGGAACTCAACAATAAACATATACTACAAGATAGACTGATCGTTGTCATATTCGCCCGTTGTTCCCAATCCGAGCCTCTCGTGTTCCCAATCCGTTTCGAAATCCGAATTGAGTGTCACTCATCTGGAACGCGCACTTCTTGTAAATTCGTGTATGGATAATTCTGAAAAAAGTTTTAAGGACATGAGACATCAAGCTTAATATTCGATAATCATCGCATTGTGAGGAATTCGATCTTTTTGATAATGCTACGAATGTTGATTTTAGCCAGTCTGTTGGTATTTTACCTGTGTCATATATCTTATTGAATAGTGCTGTTATTAAGTCTAGGCTTTTACTTATGTTATCTGCAATTAGTTTTAGTATTTCGACATTGATATTGTCTGGACCCGTGGCTTTTCCTTCTTTCTGAGATTTTACTGCGTGAATTACTTCTTCTTTGGTTATTTCTGGGCGTTTTTCATTTATTCGATTATCTGTGGATGGTGGAGAACAAGGTCTATCGTCGTAAAAAAGAGTTTGTATGTATGCTTTCCATCTCTCTAGTTTTTCTTCTGTACCCATAATTACTTCGTTATTATTATTTTTTAATATTGTTGCTAAACACTACTTGTTAGTGTCGTTGAGAGTTGTAGGGAGGCAGGTCTGGATCTTAACATACGGAAAACCAAAATTCTCGTAATAAGTAAACAACACCATATAAAACCGTCTATATATGTAAATAATATCAAACTTGAGCAAGTTGATAAAATCGTTTACATTGGACAGCAATTAAATTGTAACGCAAAAAGTCACGGCGAAATTAGATCTAGGATAGAGCAGGTTAGAGCTGCTTTTAGAAGGATGTCCAAGGTGTTATGTAACAGAGACCTAAAATTGACATTGAGGATCCGCCTACTTCGCTGCTACGCATTCTCGGTCTTACTTTATGGTGTAGAGTCCTGGACTGTGAATAAAATCGATCTAAATCGCCTTGAGGCTTTCGAAATGTGCTATAGAAATTAAAAGTTTCCTGGGCGGAGAAGATTCGAAACTCCACAATACTAGAACGTCTCAGCAAGACTACTGTCAAGGACATGGTACATGAAGAAGAAGAAGAATATTGTTGCTTCTCTCTTTTTGTGTCTACTTGTCATTTCTTTTACTTTTGTGTGAATATTTAAGGTGTCGTATTTTTCCTGAAGTTGTTCGATTTCTAGGAATTTTGTTGACATCCAGTTTTCGTTCGCCTCCCTGCACTTTTTCTAATGATTTTATTGAATCGCCTGTATTCTATTGGACTTGTTTTATGTTTTCGTCTTACGTCCATGAGGTCCATGATCTCTTGCGTTATCCATTCTTGTTTTTTGTTGTGTTTTATGAACCCGATGCCTTCTTTTTGTATCTTTGTTATTTTTGTTTTTAGAGCGGTCCATGTCACTTAAATGTCTGTCTGTAGCAAGTTTTCGATCGTTTTTATTTCTTCCTCAAGATTGATACTTATTTCTTTTTTCTGTTCAGAGTTCTTCAGTTTATCGACCACGTTACCTAAATAACCAATGAGAAGGTCACATGGTCAGCAAACCCGGCCAATTAGACAGATATGCAAGGACTGCTTTGCGTCAGTTTTCTCTGTCGTACTGGGGAATGTGACTGTCGTGCAGCCTACCTTGTATTATATGTCCAGAATTCAACCTACCCTAACCCAACTCAACCTAACCTAAACAAAAATCAATATTAAGATAAAATATATTGACTCCCCCATCGAACAAGGTTGTAACTCAAGTTAGATCTATTTTCAGATTTCAACACAGGCGAATTCGGTAAGAAGTTGTTCACACGTCAATATAAATGGCATAGTTTAATTCTCAATAGTTTCTCTAATACTCCATTGAAAAAAGTTGTACTTTAACTTACTTGTGTCAATTTAGCGTGAAAAAGGCAGTAACAGTGTTATTCCCTATTTGAAATATTTAGTTTTTATATATTTGACGATTAATAAGGTTTTTAAAGGATTTACAACTTTCTTGTACATATGTTTAAGTTATAAAGTAATTAAACATACGGTGCATCCCGTAAGTCAATCTTGTTGTAAGGAAAGTTTACCGGGGAATCCCATATGCTATATGAGTTGCTGCTTGGTTTGTGTTTGACTAGTTACAGTATATGCCATTTACGTGAATGTAACTTTTAGTTGATATTTTTGACTATAAAAGTGTTTCAATATCGAGATATACTTCCAAAATGAATCGTAATATGCGTATATTAGAATTAGCTTTGAAAAATAGTGAAATAGACGCTGAATCTGGTAAGTAATTATCATAACCATACTTTTGTAACTAAAAACTAGACATTGAAATTGCAAACTTAGACATTGTTGCAAAAGATTTTACATTGTAAAACCCTTTATATGCAATATATCATACAGATTGAACGAAATAAATTCGGAACATAGGAAACATCATGTATTTCGGCTCATTTCTGCTGTAGGGGGTTGGCCAACAAAAGGTTGTCAAATAATTATATTATAAAAACCCAATACTTCTGCGGGCTGCTGGATTCTGAACTCATAAAAATTGAAAGCTACACATAAATCTACGATTTTATTATGCTGTCAAACCACTTATAGTCCAGGGAATGAAGCATTTCACCTCGTAATTTTTTCGTCCTGCGTGCATTAACTTGAAATTTTAACAGAAGGTAGGTAATAGCTTAAGGATCAAAATTTATATCGAACCAATGTGCGCCAAAGCCTTGGGGGTGGTTGCCACCCCATCCCGGGGGTGAAAATTTTTTTTACGTTTTAACTACAGGTTTCGATTAAAAAAGTGATTATAAACAAAAAATGTTTTTTACATTTTTTTTTTTGTAAAACTGATATTTTTCAAGTTATTTGCGATTGAAAGTAACAACTTTAAGACGAAAAAATCGGCGTTTTTAATCGATTTTTCGCGAATAACTCGAAAATGGTGCATTTTATCAAAAAATTGTAGAGAACAAATTTGTAGATTTTAAAAAGACAAATACAATTCATTTTTTAAATTGTTTTTGCGATATAATAGGAACCGAAATACGGCCTATCAATGTTCAGCGGTTTTCTTCAAATGCCAAATTTGAAAGATTCAAAGTCAAATATCGGGAAAATGACGCATTTTTGGAAGAAAACTCACGCAACCTTTTTTAAAGAGCATAAATAGATCTATCATAAAAAAATACTCTAGCTCAAAAATTAAGTGAGTTATGATGAAAATAAGGCCAATACCTCATTTTTTTACGAAAAAATCGATGAAAACAACCCCCTAACCACCCCCATAATTAAAATCGATCTTCACCCTTCTGCAATTCTCTTTGTACATGTATTGTTAATACGTCCAAGAAGTTTGCCCCATTTAAAATGCTTAGTTTTAGAAAAAGTACAGCTTAAAGCGAGAAACGATTTACAATTTCATATTTTTTACCCTTCTTTTTTTAAATATTCCCGAAAATACTGAATATATGAAAGAAATAAAAATGTACTAAATTGTAGCTTTTTTAATGACAATTTTCCTTTATTTAGATTTGTTGTACAATGAATATTTGGAGAGATATAGCCGTTTAAATCATCGATTTACGATCAAGCACCATCTTTTTCGAGCCCTTTAAACTCACCCCATTTAAAAACCAAGGGTTCCAAAGAGATTTAATTCACAGATCCTTGTAGCTCTTAAAAACCTCTACAAAATCGTTTTTGAGGAAACACTCTATCGATAAAATTAAGGAAATACGTTAAAAAACCAATTAATTTTTTTTTCGGAAAATTCCATTAGTATAGTACAGTACATTTTGGAGCATAATAATCTACAAAACCGCTATATTAGGTAGTGGGGCGTTATACATTCAAAATTTTAAGCGTTCTTATTTTGAAATCCCATACAACAGAATAAAACATTTGCTCATATGTTTATGGCTTGGCAATGAAAATATCAGAGCAACAGACTGAGGATGGTATTCCAAAGATGGTTTGTTATTACCCGTACGCATGAACAAACAACCTGCACCCGATGAACTTTTGAAAATTATTTTCTGCCAATGCAAAAAAGGATGCGGCGTTTCATGTGGGTGCAGAAAAGTTCGTTTATACTGTAACTTTACTTGTTCTGAGTGCTCAGGTGAAGAGCGCAATAATAGTCCACCAATAAGTGAAGAAGATGAGGATGACATAGATCACGATGAAGATGTAATTGATGACGAATAAAATTAATATTATAATTGTTTTACCTATAAATGTTAATATTTTCAACTATTTATGTAAATGTATAAG